CATCTCCCTCCCCACCCCACCTGTCACAGAGCCCCTGTTTGAGTTCCCTGAGTCACACAGAAAAGTCTCGTTGGTTATCTGCTTTACACATGGTTTTGTAGATTTCTATGTTACTCTCTCCATTCGTCCCTTCTCCCACCTTGTCCATAGGTCTGTCCTCTATGTCTGTTTCTCCACTGCTGCCCTGAAAATAAATTCATCAGAGTCATCTCTCAGATTCCACATGTGTGTGTCAGAATACAATGTTTATATTTCTCTTCCTGACTTACTTCACTCTGTATAATGGGCTCTCATTTCGTCCACCTCATTAGAACAGATTCAAATGCATTCCTTTTTATGGCTGAGTAGTATTCCATCATTTATATGTACCACAGCTTCTTTATATATTCATCTGTTGATGGACATCTGGATTGCTTTCATGTTCCAGCTATTGTGAACAGTGTTGCAGTGAACATTGGGGTACATGTGTCCTTTTCAATTTTCGTTTCCTCAGGGTATATGCCCAGGAGTGGGATTGCTGGGTCATATGGTGGTTTTATTCCTAGCTTTTTAAGGAGTCTCCATACCATCTTCCATAGTGGCCGTATCAGTTTGCATTCCCACCAGCAGTGGAAGAATGTTCCCTTTTCTCCACACCCTCTCCAGCATCTATTGTTTGTAGACTTTTTGATGATGGCCATTCTGACTGGTGTGAGGTGGGATCTCACTGTAGTTTTGATTTGCATTTCTCTGATAACGAGGGATGTTGAGCATCTTTTCATGTGCTTGTTAGCCATCTGTATGTCTTCCCTGGAGAAATGTCTCTTCAGGTACCTTTCCCACTTTTTGACTGGGTTGTCTGCTTTTCTGGTATTGAGTTGTATAAACTGCTTTTATGATTTGGAAATTAATCTTTTGTCAGTTGTTTTCCTCGCTATTATTTTCTCCCATTCTAAGGGTTGTCTTTTCACCTTGTTTGTAGTTTCCTTTGCTGTGCAAAAGCTTTTAAGTTTAATTAGGTCCCACTTGTTTATTTTTATTTCCATTACTCTAGGAAGTGGGTCATAGAAGATCTTGCTTTATGTCATTGAGTGTTCTGCCTATGTTCTCCTCTAAGAGTTTAATAGTTTCTGGTCTTACATTTATGTCTTTAGTCCATTTCATCTTTTTGTATGGCATTATGAGTGATCTAATTTCATTCTTCTGCATGTAGGTGTCCAGTTTTCCCAGCACCACTTACTGAAGAGGCTGTCTTTGCCCCGTTGTATATTCTTGCCTCCTTTGTCAAAAATAAGGTGCCCATAGGTGTGTGGGTTTATCTCTGGGTTCTCTATCTTGTTCCACTGGTCTATATATCTGTTTCTGTTCCAGTACCGTATTCTCTATGACTGTAGCTTTGTAGTATAGTCTGAAGTCAGGAGGGTTGATTGTCTACCAAGTTTTACCATCTCTATTTTTCAAAACTATTAATTCCAATGTGCTTACACTTACATTCTACTTTTCCAGTGAGCTTTCTTATGTGAACAGTTTCTTAGACTTTAATTTTTTCATTTTATATAGTCTTTCAATGAATTGATATTCCATTAAAAACTTCAAGGGGCTTCCCAGGTGATACCAGTGGTAAAGAAACTGGTAGACGTTTCTGCCAAGGCAAGTAGACGTAAGAGACCCAGGGTCGATTTCTGGATCTGGAAGGTCCCCCGGAAGAGGGCAGAGCAACCTACTCCAGCATACTCGCCTGGAGAATGCCATGGACAGAAGGATCTGGCAGGCTATAGTCCATAGGGTTGCCCAGAGTCAGACAGGACTGAAGCAACTTAGTACAGAGCACCAAAAAACTTTAAATGCTAGCTCTGATGCTTGACATGGGGCTTCCCTTGTGGCTCAGCTGGTAAAAGAATGCACCTGCAAGTTGGGAAGATCCCCTGGAGAAGGGAAAGGCTACTCCACTCCAGACTTCTGGCCTGGAGAATTCCATGGACTGTATAGTCCATGGGGTTGCAGAGTCGGACACAACCGAGTGACTTTCACTTCACTGCTTGACACATCTGTCTCACAAACACCTCTTAAATCCGCGTGTCCCAGAGTACTGTTTTCCTACTTTCTAAACCCTACCCCTCTGCCCCAGGCCACTCCCTCCTGTCTTCCTTCCTTTCTCAGTGAATGGCATTACCTTCCAGCGGATCGTGAACACCTCCAGAAGCTATTCCACTGCTCTGTGATTAAGGTCCTCACCTGCCTGGGCGTGCAGTCACAGTCTGCAGTCCTGCCGCCAGCCCCCTGGCCAAACACAAGCGTCTGGGCACCACTCTCCTGTCTGACGTCTGCAGGGGCCCACCGTCCTGGAGTCAGCGTGGCCAGTTCTCCTGCTTAGGGGTCCAGGAGCTGACCCCCATGGGATGTGTGACTCAGGAGCCCTTTGAAGGGGGTGTTGATGTGGCTGGGCTGTGGTGACCACCTCAGGGACTGACGCTTCCCTGAATGGAGTCCAAGAGAGGTCTCACTTTGGTGACTGTGGAACCACAATGCGAAGCCAAACGACTCGCGCGTAACCACCATCAACAGAACAACAACAAGCTGCGCACAACTTGTTGTGCCCTGTGGTACACGTTTCCAACTCCAACCGTCTAGGCGCTTGATTCCTGATTGCTGCCACCTCCCACAGCTCGCAAATACACTTCCTACGCTCCTGGTTCCACCACACTGCACAATTTTCATGCACGATTTTGTGTGTTATTATCTTGTTGGGATGTAACTCCTTTACAACACTGTGTTAGTTTCTGCTATATGACAACGTGGATCAGCCATAGGTACACGTATATCCCCTCCCTCCCACCCCCCCACATCTCTCCCCTCTAGGTCGTCACAGAGCGCCGAGCTCAGCTCCCTGTTCACGCACGGTTTTCTATAATCCTCACAATGCTGCGCGGCTTCCAAAGCTGAGTATGTTTGACTCGAAAGCATCACCCGCCCTTCCTGCTGGGGGCCAATGCACACTCCGCTTCGCCTCCACTTGGCCGAGTTCACACTTCCTCAGCTTCCGTCCGATCATCCCAGGTCCCTGACGCAGGTGATATCACAGACCAGGAAAGATACCAACTGCCTCCCAGCCTCCAGGTAGGGAGACAGTTTCCTTCACCCAGTCCCTCCCCGCTCCCGGGCACTGCCTGTCTGTGTGCCCAGCAGTGGGGACCTCCCCAGGTGAGACAGCCAGCCAGTGTTCATGACCTCCTGCAAGGGAATTAACATCGAACAAGGCCCTGGCACAGCACGGGCCCACCTCGAGCTGCAGTGAAGGCAGGACGAGATCAGCGTGCCGCCTGCTCCACAGAGGAAGCACACATGGGACCCTTAAGTCACTCCTGGGTGGGCAGCCAGGCCCTCTCCTGTGTACCAGTCTTGATTTTAAAGAAAACGGCTCAGCTCTTTATGTGCCATCGATCAAAAAATGCTCTCATTTCACAATAGGCAGCCATGCTCATCATTCGTGGGGCAACACCACAGGTTAGCCAAGGGACCTTGTTACATGAACTCCTGAATCCCGTTTGCAGAGAAAGGGAGGGTAAACCCCCAAAAGAAGAATTTTATCAACTCTTCTCCCAGGCTGTGACAATCAGCTAAGACGCGTGCTGCTCTGAGCTGGACTTCCACATGCCCGTTTCTTTTCTCCAAATAGACTTTGCATCTCATGATCTCAGAGGTTCTGTTTCCCACATGGTGATACCATGTTGTTGCTGTTGTTGTTAAATTTAAAAAACAGCAAAGACCAAATAAGAGGAGGGAGGGAGAAAACCCCCTTCTGTTTATACTGCCAGCCTGCAGCAGGATGGTCATCACTGACACCTCGTCCAGCAGGCATCTGACCGGTCCCTAAGAGGGTACATCCTTACAAGGCCTGTGATTCAGCAGTCTCCACCCAGGAGAGGGCAAGCCCATCTCTTCAGCTACACAAATAAAAATGTTTTACACATGAGCCAATTATCTCAGAAACTCCTCGCACAACACAGAGAGGATAAAAAAGCCTTGGGGGCTGGCCTTGTTCACACACTACGTGCTTGCCTTGATGCTGGGTGGCAGGAACACTGTTCCAAGTCAGCATTTACATGCTTACTGTCACCTCCACCAGCTCCTGCCTCACCTCTCTGCTCCAAACCCTCCCAGCCAGGGCAACAGAGGAAAAAACCCCTCATCACAGTTTAAACGTCTTGGGTCTTCCTCAGTTCTCTCCCCTAGACCTGGCTATCATAGCCCCACACCAGGCAGGACTCACCCCCATGGTGTCCCTCCTTTCATCAGAAAACACGTGCAACACCACACTCACATCTGAGCTGCTTCTGAAGAAGGGACTTGGGGCTAGGGTTGCAGTGGGGGAAGTGGCTGTGTGTCCCAGACCTTCCTGTCCTGCTTGCCTTCTATCCCCATGTGCACATAGCCCTGTCCCCTTTAAACTTTTAGTCACAATTGTATTTTTTTAAAAGGGGGCGGTGGATTTTAAGTACATACCATGCTGGTTACCTTTGTCATCCTAGAACAAGGGAACTGACCCGTGAGTACTGTGTCTGCCCAGACAGTCCTTATTTCAATCATATCAAATTAAAAAATCTAGGAACAGGCCACAGTGAGGAAATGCAGGCATTTCCAGAGCATCTAGCAGCTGGTCAGAGGAGCGGACCCCCTGCCCAAGGCCCCGCAGTGAGCAGCTCCCCCTGAGCACTCCCAGTGGGGCCTCGGCCCTCCACGCTGGGAGATAAGACGCCTCTTGACCACTTCAGTTCACTGTCAGGACCCGGTCTGTGCCCTCCTGAGACCAGCTGGCCCCACTGAGAGGACACAGAGCAGGTGCTAAACTAGGGAACTGGGATGGGGAAGACATAGTGCCGGCTTCAGGTTTGAAAGATGGTTGAGAGAAATCACAGCAAAGAGGAGCTCTGATTTGGATGAAAGCAGTGTGGACGGCTGTGCTGTGGCTGAAAATACCTCCCTGCAGGCTCCAGGCAGCAGGAGAGAGAACGCACACTGACCGCTGACCCCCAGCCCATCCAGCTGCTCCAAGCAAAGAGCCTGGATGCAACCATCTGGGTTTCAACAGCAAAGCAGTCGGGGCGCGGAGATGCTGCCAGGCCACCTCGCAGCCTCAGCTCAGAGCTCATGAGCTGGCAGAGGAAGGCTGAGGCAGGCTTCTCAAGGCCCAGCTGAAAGCTACTTCTGCTGTCTCCCTTCCTGTGAACAAAAGCAGACTCTCGCTGATGCCGCTCAGGCCCCGAGTCCAAGTCTTTCCGGTTCCAGCAGCCACGGTGCTCTGCTCTCCTCGGGGTACCTCTAATGGGAGCACTCAAAGGGGCATGAGTGCCTGTCCCCGAGTTTGACCTTCCAGGGCCCCTTGCTGCTCGCACCAGCATCAGCCAGATAGTCTCTGCAACCTCCCCATCATCCCTGAGCCCCATTCTATCCCAACACCAGCAGAATGAGTTCCTCACCTCGCACCAAGTTGGACTCTCTAATCCGTCATCCCCATTTTACAGGGACTGAGGTTGAAGGAACAGGATGAAACCACTAGGAAATGGCAAAGTTAAGCTGAGCACCCCGGGCTTCTGACCCTCAAGCCACTTCTGACCCTTGCCTCTACATGACTAGGGAATCCCATGAAGGGTGCTCAGAAGGATGACAGCTGTAGACACAGATTTAAATGCATGTCTGCCCTGCAAAGGACTTCCCAGGTGGCGCTAGTGGTAAAGAAACCTGCCTGCCAATGCAGGAAACATAAGAGACGTGGGCTTGATCTCTGGGTCGGGAAGATCCCCTAGAGGAGAGCATGGCAACCCACTCCAGTATTTTTGCCTGGAGAATACCCATGGACAGAGGAGCCTGGTGGGCTACAGTCCATGGGGTCGCAAAGGGTTGAACATGAGTGAAGCAACTAACTTGGCACTGCTCTGCTAAACTGCACATGCTCTGGTGGGGTCAGTTAACATTGGGTTCAGCAGCCTTCACACAATAAGAAACCTGCCAAATAGTCATTGAAACAACTGGGTTTTTTGTTTGTTTGGTTTTTAACATAAAGGAAGTCTGAAGTAAAGTAGGAAAGAGCTTGTGGCATCAGATATGTGGCACAGCTCTTTTTGTTTGCACCATCATCCTCACCCTGTGACTTCCATCCTTGAGGTTACCTCATGTTCCAAGATAGCTGCTGGAGTGCCAGTCATTATGTATGTATTCCAGGCAGAAGGAAAAGAAAAGGTCACCTGCCAGCTGAGTAAATCCTCTTTAAATAAAAACCTTTTCTGTAAATTCTAACTAATGACTTTGCCTTCTATCTTATTGTGTATTCCTCTCTGCCCAAGAGACTGGGAAATAAAGTGTTATTAATACACTTCTGCCTCAAATAAAATTAAGGTTTGGTTAGTAAGGAAGGGGAGGATGGACATGGTTGGTTGGCTGCCACAGAGCTATTCTTGTGGTACAGATTTGTGGTAAGGTTAGAGGGAAACCACTTCTGACCCAGTAAGGAGAGGCAACGATTCACAGAGGAAATCTGTAGTACTGAGATTCGGGTTTTGATGAATTAATGATATTGAGGTTTTGATCAAGTGCTTTATAAACCTTTAGTGATATGCCCATCACCTAGAAATGAAGTCAGACTAAAATGATAAAACAGCCCAGGCAGGTAGCATGTCTGTGGTTTCTTTCTTCGGTGAGCAGGGTTAGGCCTCGTACTAGCTGCAACCTGAAATCTACATTCCCTGGGGTCCTTACTACTCAAACTCTGGTCCCCAAGGACCGGTATCATCATGGAGCATATTAGAAGCGCACGACTCGGGCCCCACCCCGGAGCTGCTAAAGCAGAACCGGGACTTTAACAGGGGCCCCAGGGGATCCCTGCGCACATTACAGTTTAAGAAGCCACATTCAAACACATGACTTAAAGATCTTGCAATGGGCCCTCTGATCCCCTAGAACACTTCCCAGGAAGCATCGCCTCTAAGATGCTGAGTGTTCACTGAGACTGTAAGTCAGTGTCACCTCTCTCCAACGAGAGCTCACATTTTAACTATTAATGCTCGTGACACAGTAACACCTATCATTTACTAAGTACTTACTGTGCCAGACACTGGGCGAGGGTCCTGTGTGTCCTTCTGCACTTACCACTCTGAACAGTTCTGTAAGGTGGCCGCCGTCACTATCATGTTACACGGGAGGAGACCACCCCATGGTACCCACCCTGAAGGCACGGAAGGGGTGTTAAGAGGACAGGTAGGGGCAGTGTTTAGGAGGAGGGAGAAGCTTGGATGGGTGATGCATGCTCTAGACAGAGAGGGAGCCAGGTTGCCTGGGTCTTTCTAAAATCTGCTTGGCTACCAGTGGTGACCTCACATAACACCCCCTGCACCACCCATAACCTCATTTCTCTTATCTGCGTATCAGGGATGGGAGTTGACCAGATGATCGGCAGGCTTTCCTCCAGTTGACATTCCTGAAGTCTAAGCATGCTCCCACCACCCCGATCCTGAAGTCAGTCAGCCTTAGCAGCCACCAACCCTGACTTTACCCAGGTTTATCCAAGGGCTGCCAGGTCTGGCCGGAGCCAAATGGGTCCAGAGACCCAGATGCTGGACGCCCCAGGGAAACACATACCTCCTCCTGAGCAATCAGAGGCAAACAAACAGAGCTGCTGCCAGTCACACACACCCCCACGCCCCCCAACTGGACCCAGGTGCAGAGGAAGGAGGCGGGCAAAGCCGACTTCCTGTAGACCTCCGGAATTAGACTTGATAGGAGATCTTCCCAAGGAAACACCTGGCCATGCCAGACATTACTTGCCAAAGCTGCCTGTGGGGTTGCTAACACTCTGCCCACCTCATCTGAGAGGGCTGACCATGTCACCCTCAGACTGGTTGGCAGAACCCAGCAGTGAGCAGTGAAGGAAGACTGCGCAGACTCAGCTCACAGTGGAAGGTGCCTGTACCCTCCTGGCACCTCTGCAGAGCAGAACCCAGTCAGCAGACTTGCCAAGGAGTGTCTCCCCGTCACAGTAAGCAGTGTCCCTCACTCACAAGCCCTGCACTGCCATGGACACCCGAGGCTCCTGGTGGCCATGAGCCTGTCTCCATGGTGACGGAGGACTGATCCACAGCCAGCACCAGGCCCAAGACAGAGACAGGCCCTTTCCCAGGGATGTGTGAATTGGGGCCAAGATCCTGTCTCCCAGGCTGGACGGCACCACACACTTAGGACCGCAGGGGGAGGCATCTTCCACCAGAGTAATCTCAACTCTGCAGAGTGAGAACTGAGCACAAACATAGTGAGTGTGTGCTGGAGTCCCGTCCCAGGTCCCAGCCCCAGCAGGCTCTGGGCCTCACCCCTGTGCCTTGTAATCAAGTCCCCTTAAGTGAGCCAGCTCCAGAGCAAGATGCTATCACCTGTCACCAGAGGAGTCAGGCATCCGTGTGCCCGCCCAGTCACTCAGGAGAAGGCAGGCCGAGATGCGCTTGGCGCCAAAGGAAAGAGAAGACGACGACACAGTCTGTACCCTCCAGGGGCTCACGGGCTAGTGCAAGATGCGTGGGGGTGGTTCAGCCGCTCAGTCTTGTCCGACTCTTGGGACCCCATAAACTGTATGTAGCCCACCAGGCTCCTCTGTCCATGAGATTCTCCCGGCAAGAATACTGGAATGGGTTGCCATTTCCGTCTCCAGGGCATCTTCCTGACCCAGGGATTGAACCCAGGTCTCCTGCAGGCAGTCTCCTGCATTGCAGACATATTCTTTACCAACTGAGCCACCAGGGAAGCCAAGTGTGGGATAGAAACAGGTTATAATAAATCAATGTATTAAATGTGCTGAAAAGGACACAGTGTACCATGGAAGGAAACAAGCCTGGAGCAGAGGCCAAGGGGCAGAGAGCCAGGAGCGCTTCCTGGAGGAGGCGATGCTTGAGCTGGATCACAGAAACGGGAGGAGGTAGCCCTGCAGTGGGGAGAGCGTGTTCCTGACCACGAGAACAGCAGCACGTGCTGCTGCTGCTGGGGACTCGGGGGAGGGGACACAGCATGGTTTCAGGGAGAAAACACCCGAGCGGAACTCTACTAGCTAAAGCAGATGTGTACAAAAGGGGACACAGCCCTTTTGCAAGCAACAAGCCGGCTTTTCAGAGAGAAACCACGTGGAGCAGAATCCAAGTTCAAGACCAAACCAGAGACTTCTGAACAAGCACGCATGAAATACTACAGAAACTCAGAGGCAGCAAAGGACACCTGCAGCCAGGACACGGATGAGGGGACACTTTTCAGAGCAGGCAGAGTGGAGACGGGCCTGGAAGCACAGAGCCGACGCAGACAGAAGCGGAACCTGAGCCACGCTCTCATAAACCAGGCTGTTCAAAATGTCAAAAAGCTCTGTGCTTCTTCAAGTGCTTTCACATTAAACTCCTCTGATGCTCACAGGCAAGGTGAGGACTTAAGCCATTCTAGTACTTTCCTGCCTGGTGATGGGGAAACAGACACAGACTGAGCAGTCCCCTTGGGTCACAGAACTGATGAGTTGGGGCAGAGGTTCAGAGCCTACCCAACACCCATCCCTGCCAAGGCTCCTTCATTACCTCGTCTACGAATAAGAGGAGGGAAGGAAGAACCATGCCTCACAGAGTAACTTTCCTCGGGACCTTCTGGGAGAACCCAGGCCACCTCCACCCTGTGCGGGAACTCAGGAGAGGGCCTCAAGACAGAGAAGACAGACATGTATTGTTCAATATTTGGCCTCCCTGGGGGCTTACAAGCTCCATTGGAACAGATACGGCTTCCTCGGCAATTAGGCTGGACCACTAACTGGGACGAAAGCAATGGCACCCCACTTCAGTACTCTTGCCTGGAAAATCCCATGGACGGAGGAGCCTGGTGGGCTGCAGTCCATGGGGTCGCAAAGAGTCAGACATGACTGAGCGACTTCACTTTCACTTTTCACTTTTATGCACTGGAGAAGGAAATGGCAACCCACTCCAGTGTTCTTGCCTGGAGAATCCCAGGGATGGGGTCGCACAGAGTCGGACATGACTGACGTGACTTAGCAGCAGCAGCAGCACTAACTGGGAAGGTGCTTGTATTGGGGCCATAACTGGGAGGGTGCACAAATGGACTTCATGAACGAATGAGAATAAAGAGAACGAGTGAACCACACAGAACGCAAGGGGGAGAGATGGAAGGTGAGGATGCAGTCTTCTGACAGTGGGAAGCAAACCACCCAAAGCTCTCCCTCCTCGTGGCCACCCTCACAAGCCTCACGGCATTAAATCCAAGGGCGGCGGGTGGGGGGAGGGGGGTAAGGCAGAGACGCTAACATTTCCAGCAACACCCGGCTGCTCCTTGTTAACACTTTAGGGAAAGAAGGGCGATGGGAGAGATGACCCAAGAGTCCAAAAGGGAGGTCAGAGGTCAGCGTGAGCTCCAGCAGGCCCGAGCATGTGTGTGTATAAGCTCCTGGTAAACACCCAAGTGATCCCTACGTGTTAGGGGTGATTTTGAGGTCTGAACACTGATATTCTACTAGGGAGTTCTGTCTGGTCAGGACAAGCTTCTCGAAGGATTTTTTTCCATGTCCTCTCGAACAGATTTTCCACCCACCCTACCCCAGGTGGTGGCCCCACAACAACGCCAGCTCCCAGGAGTGAGGAATTGTCACCTCACCTAGTGACGACTGTCCACTCACTCTGCAACCTCCAGAAGGAGAGGCTGGCAGACCAGAGAGGAAAGGGAGGGCCTGCTGAGGAAGGTGACGAGGCGGCCCCACCCTGGCCTGCAGGCCTCTAGGACAGTGCCTCCCCTCTGCCCTCCTCACCACTGCCTACGCCCACCCCCTCCCTCCTCCATCTGGCCTCCTGCCAGGAGCCGTGGGCAGTTTCACTTGGCACCGGTTCTAAAGCAGAAACAGGGCTTTGTTTCATCCACCACAGGGAAGGCCACCAGGTCCTGCTACAAAAACACCCTCTTCCCCGTCAAGGCAGAAAAAAGGGCCTTTTGGCCCTTCTAGTTCTAGAACACCCAGCTGATGACAAAAACTACTTCTCCTCTTCGACCTGTGGCGGGCCGTCCACACCCCCGGCCCTCCCCGAGGCCGCCTCCCTGCTCCTGCGCAGACCTTGCGGGGCCCAGCCACCTGCAGAGGCTGCCACTTGGGACCTAGTCCTGGGCACGTAGGCTCCGTCGTTACCCTCCCACCTGCACGGACATCTTTCCACGTCCCACACTTTCAGGGGGGGGACCGAACCACAGTCCCAGGGGGACCTGCTGACCACCTGACCAGGCCGGTCAGAGTCAAGGGCAGACACTCAGCCACTCAAGACCAGGCCAGTGTCTCACACCCGGAGCGCAAGAGGACGCAGGCCTCAGAGGTCTTTCCACACACTGTGTGATTTAAGGGTTGACGACAGTTTGCAGGCAAACTTTCTGTTAACAACAACAACAAAAAAAGCCCTTTATTCTCATGAACCCTGACCTCATTTCCCAAAGTGGCCTCAGACACACACACACACACAAGCCCACGAAGGTACGATCTGTCAGTTCCACTTGTCATCAGGCAAAAGCCACAGACGCCCACCCCAGCGGTCCCTCCTCTCAGACCTGGAGAGCACCCCCAGGGGTTCAGGCGACACTGTGGGAGGGACTCAGCAGGACCTCAGTGTAATGACGTTAAACCCCAGTTTTCCAAGGCAGGGGGAGAACCCCACACATTAGTCACAAGCGAAACCCCCGGTTTCTGCACGATCTCGACAAAACATCTTGAAAAAAGGGAACACAGGGATATTTTCAATGGGTGTTTTCATTGGGAGCTGTGCTTCTCACAGGACACAGTGGGCAGAAACATTTTCAAAATACTGAGCTCTCAGTAATATAAAATTCTGATATTAAAAGGAAATTGGATCCTCACCGATTCTGTGTCCCCCGAGTCGGCCTTAAACCCAGGTGTTTCCAGAGGGAGCCGTTTTGCTTTCTAATAAAGAAAACTGTTGATAATCTGACTGACTCAAAAAACAAACCAGAACAAACCTCACGGCCCAAAACGCACCCTATAGCACCCTATAGACCTGTTTGGCTTTACCAAACAGGGTTGGACAGAATATACTTGCAGAGCATTTAATTTTGACCCCTTAGTAGTAGGGCCATTGTCTTCCCTTTCCACTCATTGAGACCCTGACCAGAATTTTCAGAGGAACCCTGGCCCCTGGAGCCCCCTCCTCCCCAGGAGCCCCAGGCACCCCCCCTTCCCCGCCACGCCCCTGCTCGGTGGGGCCTGTGCCCCCTTCTCCCAGCGCTGCGGTGGGAGGCGGCAGGAGCACTTACCTTGACCACCCTCCTGTGGGGAGACCGCTCCTCCTCCTTTCTGGAGCTGGGACTCACTAAAGATTATAAATAAAGTCAAGTGATGTTATTCTACCGAAAAGTTGTACAAACTTATATGGTTCATAACGGTACGTGGCTCATGAATGAGGCGGAAGTGAAATGTCTATGACCTTTCCGTGGATTTCACTAAAGCCCCACGTTAACTCACTGGACAGCAGACGACGGCGGCGGGAGCGCCTCCTCACGCACTTTTGCTCACATCCCCTACTGGAGTCGAAGTTCTTCATGGGTGGAGGTGATTGCTGGATAAATGTAAAGTGTTAGCTGTAAACAGAGTTTGCTTTAAGAAGTTTTCTTATGAGCGTTTTTACAAAATTAAATACTCTTGAGACTCACAGACTTAAAAAACGAACTTATGGTTGCCAGGGGAGTAAGGATGGAAGAAGGGATGGACATGTACACAACGCTATACGTGAAATGGATGACCAACAAGGACCTAGGGTAGAACACAGGGAACTCTGCTCAGCGTTACAGGCAGCCTGGAGGGGAGAGGGGCTGCGGGGAGTGGGTACATGTACATGTATGCCTGAGTCCCTCTGCTGCTCACCTGAAATGATCACAACATGATGTGAACTGGCTAGACCCCAATACAAGATAAAAAGTTCAAAAGAAAAAAAAACTTAAATACTCTCGGATATGTTACTGTCACAAGCGCCAACTGGTTTCAACAACCCTGTGGTGCACTCTGGACACGTCAGGCAGGGACCCAACTCTCAGAGTGATGGCTCCATAGTTTCATCATCTCCTCTTTGTGGGGGTGGAGAACCCAACTCACCACTCAGGCTCCTGCAGGTCTGGCAGCTGAATGAGTCAGTCTCAGACAAAGGGCCCCGTCTCACTGGCCCGGCTCAAAGCCTGCAACTGTCCAACCAACAAGTCACCATGGCTGCGGGGGAGGCGTTAAGCTATAAACCTGAACCTGCCCTTTCCACCATGCCTGTGGGGGTGGCAGAGTCCTCTGTGACGCCCACCCAGCTATGTACTTGAACCTGCCCTTTTTCCACCATGCCTGTGGGGGTGGCAGAGTCCTCTCTGACGCCCACGCAACTATATTACCTGAACCTGCCCTTTCCACCATGCCTATTGGGAGGCAGAGTCCTCTCTGATGCCCACCCTGCATCTAATGACCCATCAGGAAAAAGTGTGGTTCCAGCAAAGCATCAACAAGTCCTCTCTCAGCAGGTAAATTTAGACATGCTTATATTCAGTAATATTTCATTCCAACTGGTACAAAGAGGAAAAAAAAAATAAGGCCTTTATTTATAAACCAATCTAGCAAAAGTATCAGAAAGCAGATTTAGATTTCAAAAGATTTAGGAAGTTAGCTTAGATTTCAACAGGTACTATACATCAACAGCAAAAGTCGTCAACAAACGGAAGTTGTACTTCATTCCAGAAATGGACCTTAGAAAGTAACTAGCTTGGTGCTAAAGCGTGGCAGGGCAGGCCTGGTTACACACAGCTCCCTGAAGCACCCACCCACCCTGATTCAACTGCTTTACGAGCTGGGAGCTATTTCCAACAACCCTTTTAAGTACTGTTCAGAACAAGAAGGTCCTATTGCATAGCACTATCTTCAATATCGTATGATAAACCATAAAGGAAAAGATTATGAAACCATAGAAGAAAAGATTACTAGAAAATATATATGTATATACAACCGAATCGCTTTGCTATACAGCAGAAATTAACACAACAATATAAATCGACTATACTTCCATAAATGTTTTTCTAAATGTTATTCAGAGTATACCCTGTATTTCTGTGTAACTAGAAGATGCTGTTCCACAACACAGTGACTCCACAGTGACATTATCTAAAGCAATTTTACTGGAAAAACAATTATACTTCGAGCAACAAAGCAAGAACCCCATTATCAGTTGAGTAGGTCACGTCCCAAGGGGAAAAAAAAAAAAATGTGCCGAGCAGGCCTGGCAGACTGCCCGCAACGTCAGGAACGTTCAGGCGGAGTGCACCGGGGTCCCGCAGTGCTTGTGCCACAAGTCGACGGCCTTGCTCACGATCGCGTCCGAGCTGTCCTGGGGAATCTGTGAACAAGCAGACCAGGCTCTGAAAGGCATGATCCCGACTTCAGCCTCTCCCTCATTCACTGGGGCATAAAACTCATGTCCACTGGAGTCCTGGCTGCTTTTCAGAAAGTGACCGCATGGGTGGCTGCTGCCAGACGTGTGTCACGTGCCACCCGAGGCCATGGTGCGGAGTGTGGTGTCACCCCACCTGAGTTTGAATTCTGCACTGCCCACTCCCTGCAGAGCCCTGGGCAGGCTACCTAAGTGCCCTGGGTCCAGATCCCCAGCTCTGAAATGGGGCAAATGATAGCCCCACCTCACAGGGCTCTTTACAGGGTTACAGGAGGTAACTCACAAAAAAATATTTAGCAGGGGCCCTGGCAGTGTGCGCCACTATTTATTACAACGAAGAGGGCTCTTTGATCCAGCACACATTCACTGAGCACTTCTACCGGGCCACTGTTCAACTGTTCACACTGACCGATTAAAATAGATCTGGGGTCCAGTGAAATTCAGTCAAGCCTAAGTCTATTTTGACCTCTTCTTGCCTGGTTAAGGGTATTCTTAAGATACAAAGATAGGGAAAAACAGATTCATTCAGACCTTTTTCAACATGCTGAAGTGTAAACACATTTTCAACATGCTGAAGTGTAAACACACATTAACAAGTTCAACTGGGACTCCACCAGACATAGGAACAGAAATGAAGGGCTTTATTAGCAAAATCCCCGAGAACATTCCTTTTCCACTAACAGGGATTGCTCGCCATAAAGCGACAGATCTCACCTCCTCCTTTCCTTATGGCCTCTGAGTGGTAACTCTGGTCCCAGGTACACACACTCATGGAGACAGACCTGCTGCTCAGGCCAGTGACCCCCAAACAAAGGATGTGGATTATAATCCAGAGACCAAGGTGAAACATACTGGGAAAAATAATTTCTTATAAGGTAGAAATATACTGTACTGTCTCTGAAATAATTTAATGCCATAGAAAAATCTGGCTTGGTAAACTGAATTCCTTCCTAGATTCAAAGTTCAAGTGAAACAACGCACACTTACGTTTTCCAGAAACTTCGTTATCTTCTCTGCACTGTTCAGTGCCATTACTTTTATTTTAAAGGTTAAGAGAATTTCCACAGCTACAAAAACTAGTATCTTACAGGATCCACTTACAACTTTATCCCAAATCCTATGAAAGAAAGATGTAATCAAATTACAAGTCTGAAGTTGATGTTTATACCTAAACATCTCAAGTTTCAAAATTAAATCAAATTACATTTTCTTTTATGTACCATCATCCCTCAGTATCCCCGGGGAAGTGGATCATGGGCTCACTTGCTGTGGATACCACGATCCGTGGAGGCTCAAGTCCGTTATATAAAGTGAGGTGGTGCAGTCAGCCCCCTGCATCCACAGATTCCACAACCAAGGATTTGACCAGCCACAAGTGTAAACACAGCCCAGGATCTGGGATCGGCTGACTCCATAGACGTGTAACCGTGGAGACAGACGGCTGACTGCATAAGCTTCAGAGAAGAGCTATGAGGACATCATCCTCCAGGAAGACGTCCTCCAATTAATATCTCAAAACTGACATTTTAGGGCAGGAAGGTCCTAAAAACCAAAGCTTCAAGTTTACTAATATTCTGTAATGCTAAAATAACCATTACATACTAAGGAAAAGAACAAAAGGGGGAATGAAATATGAAATTCAATTTCATTTTCCAGTAAATTCCTTAATTAAGGAGCTAGTTATTAAATATAGTCTAAATTAAATATACTCTAAAATCATTATTCTGATAACTCCAATGGCTCTCACAGTCAGTATCATTACTGAGCACCGTCCTGTAATCCTGTGTGTTGCCTTTTTCCTCAAGTGTTAAGTCCTAGAGGGAGCCGGACGCGCTCCAAAATACCCGTAACACATCTGAAACTGATGGAAGAGCCGCGTCTGAGTCTCCAGCCGTCTTCAGCCAGTTTAATGACGTCATAAGAGGTCTAAGAAATAAACATTTTTCTCCAGGATCTGCTCCATTTCTGGAAAAGTCCACATCCATATATACCCCTGGAGTCTACTTTAGATATGAATATTCAACAGCATCGAACACATTGAGAGCCTTCAATTTCTCTAACCATATATCCTAACATTTTTAATATCTATTTTAATACTCAATAGTTCTAATTGTATATATAATAAGCAGAATCACCAGTTGCTGTGTCAGCTGCTGGAGAAGTTAGTATCAAATGACTGCATGGTTCTAAAACAAATTTATATTCTGAGATGATCATGTTAAAAGGACAAAACAACAACAACAAAAACAGGAATTTTCTGACTCTGAGCCTTCAGCTCAGTGTTTAAAAGAAACACTTGCCTCTGTAAGCTGGACTCGGGCAAGCACCCGGCGAAGCACTTCTTGAACCACAGCTCGTAGGGAAGCGTGGACACCGCACAGCAGGCCTTCAGGTGACTCAGCAGTCGGCCATCTTCCAGATTCAAGTATTGTTCAAAAGCCTTTGGCTAATGATCGAAAGGGAAGAGGTTACTCACTTCCTAAACTAAACTTGCTAAAGCGGGGGACACGGTTCGATCCCTGGTCTGGGAAGATTCCACATGCCACTGGGCAACTAAGCCCGTGCACCATGACGACAGAACTGGCTTGCTGCAACTACTGAAGCCCATGCACCCTAGAGCCCATGCTCTGCAACAAGAGAAGCCACCACAATGAGAAGCCTGCACGCCCAAAGAGTAGCCCCCACTTACTGCAGCTAGTGAAAGCCTGTGTGCAGTAACAAGACCCAGGGCAGCCATAAATGAATAAATCTTAAAAAAAAAAAAAAAAAGAAAGAAAGAAAGCAAGCAAGCACACCTCAACAAAAGGCAAAATCTGACAAAAGAGGACCTGAGAGGAATTTATACTAAACTTAGAAAGAGGCTCTAATAGTGTTGATTGAAGGGGGGGGCGGGAAATACCCTCTCTTTAGGACAGCTTTTAAAAACTGTGTCAATGGCAAGGAAAAAAACTCCCTCTAATGACTGAACACAGTTAGGACTGAGATGGCTTAAAGACAGTGTGACCTGAAGAGAGATTAGCAGAGGCCTCCCACGTCACACCACTGAAGCTGGCCTCCACTTTCCCTGGCAATCAGGGGCCTCATCAAAAAGAACTTCCCGAAGCTTGATGGAGAGGAAAGCTCTCCTCTCCTATAAATCAGACCACCACAACATAAAGGCATCATCGCCAGAAAGAGTCTTTTGATGTCAAGTCTATCACTGTGCATCACACGTACCTTTCCCTAGGATTATGAAACAACCTGTGCTTTGCGATAACAAACTTGGTAAAAACCACAAAAATTTGAAAAGATGACAGACAAGATTATAGAAACTTTAACAAAAAACTGGCAGAAGAGATCTAGTATACAACAACAGAAAATTTTCAGCTAGATTTAACAAGGTTTAACTAAAGAATTTTTTAAAAAACTTGACTTGAAGCACTTAAGCTGGGACTTCCATGATGGCCCAGCAGCTAAGACTCTGCACTTCCAATGCAGGGGGCCAGGGTTCAATCCCTCGTCAGGGAACTAGACTCACACATGCCACAACTAACACCTGGCGCAGCCAAATGATTTTTTTTAAAAGAAATGAAAGAAAATTTATGTATAGAAACAATGTAATAACATTAACAAACCAAGGAGGAAAAGCGTATCACCACCTAAATAAGGACAGAAAAAAAAAAAATGGTATGAAAATACCTCCTAAAAAGCTCTGAAATAACCCATAACCCTGCAACTAAAGTAACCCTGCACATCCAAATAAATAATTTTTTAAAAATTAGAAATTTTTTAAGTCACTTGATGGCTACATGAAATAGCAACACAAAGGAAATGTAGCTTTTTTTATATTAATATGTTCTGAACTTTTAAAAAGAACTTTTGCAACTATAAAAAAACTATGTCCTAGACACAATAATATACCTGTGAAAAATCCTTTTTTGATGATGATGAAATGAAGGTTTAGGGGACATAAGGACACTGAGTATCTCTTGCTGGTTCTAAAATTCTTTTCTTCACACATTATTGATTGGAGATATTATCAATATGTCTTTTCTTACACAAACGTTACTGACCTATGACATATCAATACGTTTTTAGACAGTGATACAGAACTGTGGTGTTGGGGGAAGACTCTTGAGAGTCCTGTGGACTGCAAGGAGATCAAACCAGTCAATCCTAAAAGGAAATCAATCCTGAATATTCATTGGAAGGTCCAATACTCTGGCCACCTGATGTGAAGAGTCAACTCATTGGAAAAGACTCTGATGCTGGGAAAGATTGAAGGCAGGAGGAGAAGGGGACGACAGGGGATGAGATGGTTGGATGGCATCACCGACTCGATGGACATGAGTTTGAGTACGCTCTGGGAGATGGTGAAGGACAGGGAAGCCTGGAGTGCTGCAGTTTATGGGATCAAAAACAGTCAGATACGACTGAACAACTGAACTGATTAACATCACTGTGCAAAGCTGTCAGAGATTACCCAGAGCAGGGAGGGGGAAGAGGGCAGTGGGGCGCTTGCTGGCTGAAGCTGCGTTACAGTTCACCACAAGAGGAACAGAGTCATGTCTGCATCTCATACCAGTCACGAACATTCAGTCCCCTACCAACTAAAGGACTAAAATGTAAAATGTTCAAAAATTTTTAAAAGCTAGAAGCTTTCTAAAAAAAAACCTTGGAGTTAGAAAGGCCATTCTAACTAAGATACAAAAAAAAAACAAAAGAAATACTAATAAAACCAATACAACAGGAAGAAATATTTTCAGAGAAAATATCTAACTTACATAAATATCCACCATATAGCAATAATCCTTACCCAAAAAGGAAAGATGCAAACAAAACAGAAAGATAGACAAATATGACCAATAAACACACTCCCAAAGCTGCTTGCTGCTGCTATTGCTGCTAAGTCGCTTCAGTCGTGTCCGACTCTGTGCGACCCCATAGACGGCAGCCCACCAGGCTCCACCATCCCTGGGATTCTCCAGGCAAGAACACTGGAGTGGGTTGCCATTTCCTTCTCCAATGCATGAAAGTGAAAAGGGAAAGTCAAGTCTCTCAGTCGTGTCCGACTCATAGCGACCCCATGGACTGCAGCCTACCAGGCTCCTCCGTCCAAAATTAAGGCAATGGAAATTAAAACGGGCTGCCATTTCACTATCAGGTCGGCAAAAAGCAGCCTACCAGGCTCCTCCGTCCAAAATTAAGGCAATGGAAATTAAAACGGGCTGCCATTTCACTATCAGATCAGCAAAATTTTAAAAGATAGATACTATCAAGTATTGGCAATGGGGTGGAAAACAGGAAATCTCAAACTGGTGGGGCAAGCAAAATTGGTACAACTTCTGGGTGAGTAACCTGGTAGCTAACACATTTAAATATGTCTGTTGCATTAGAGCATTTAACGCATAGGTAACCCACCCACCCACACGGGAACACATCACGTACACAGAGAGGGCAGTCATCATGGAGCCACTACACTCAGTTAGGGCAAATTCTTAACAAGAAAGACTACGAGAATTTGTTCAGTTCAGTTGCTCAGTTGTGTCCGACTGTTTGCCACCCCATGAGAATTTTGTAAGTGGTTCTAAATGAGTGACTCTCAATCCTAGCCTTATTTCAGAATCACTGAGTTTTTAAAAAAAAATTAGAATTCTGAGGCCCCACCCCCAGAGATCCCGATTTCGTTGCTCTGGTCATTGTTAAAGAGCTACCAAGTGGCAGTAACAGGAAGTCGGGGTTGAAAACTACCATGTGCAGTGACGTGGAAAAACTTCAATACATGAAGTTTTAAAGAATCACAGGGCTGTATGAACAGTATAATACTTACATTTTAAAAAATTATATATGTAAAAATATGTATAAGACGTATACACACACACATACACACACGTGTGCATGGGTATGCACTCACACCCCCATCCACTCTAATGCACGTGAAATGATTTAGACAAGGAACTTCCCTGATGGTTCAGTGGCTAAGAATCCACCCGCCAACGCAGGGCACACAGGTTCAATCCCTGGTCCTGGAAGATTCCACATGCCACACAGCAACGAAGCCCATGACAAAACCGCTGAGCCAGCGCTCTGGGGCCCAAGTGCCATGACTATGGAAGCCCATGCTCCACAGCAAGAGAAGCCGCCAAGATGAGACGTCCCAGCACCGCAACTAGAGAGGAGCCTCTGCTCGCCACAACTAGAGAAAGCACAGCAACAAAGACCTAGCACAGCCCAAAAATATATTTAAAAAAATAGTCCAGTCGAACACACACCAAGCTGGTGACAATGCTCACATCTTAGAAAGTAGGGGACGGGGAAGCGTTGGGGCAGGTTGATGACAACGTGGATTCACCTGGATTACTGAATACTCCCAGAATGTATCTGTTACTTGTGTTATTAAAAATAATGAACTTTTTAAACAATCCATCAATATGCGATTGCGTTCACTCCAATATTAACAAAGACTGATGAAACCATGGTACAAGTTTGGACCTCCTGACTGAATTAAGCAGCTAACATTCCATTCACATATGCTCCAATGCCATGCTTTATTAAGTAAAGTTAAGTTTTAAAATTCTAAGACTCAAACTTTACCTAAGGGAAACACATTAAAAAGCACTCCTGTTAGGGCTCAGGGAGGCTGAGAGCTGGAGTCTGGCCCGCCACAGGGGTAGAGTGGGGCTCCCCAGGGCTCAGCCAACCTGCACCCCACACCTGACCCTGCACCCTATAACGTGGTTACTGCTTTCAGCAGAATTTCCAAATGAGACAGTTCAATGACTCAAGGAAAAGAAGACTTGTTTTTATAACATGAAAGAAATGGAGCGGGGGGGGGTGGAGCTGAGGAGAGAGAATGGCAAAGGACCCGATATGAGGATGACCCAAGTGCTGGTTCTCCCGATTCCCCAGTCAGCACAGCGGACCACCGGCTGCCCAGCTCACATCTACTCCCCGCTCCTTCCTCAGGAACGGAGTCCCTGTTCCAATGTGAGATCACAGCGTGCCCGGCTCAAAACCAACCAACCACATTCCCCAGGCTCCACTGCAAACCAGGGCCACCCTGCTCACTAACGGTCACGCAGAACGGAAGCCTGTAAAGGAGGACAGGCTGGCCCGGCTTGGCACTTCTCCTGCCTTCCCTTCCCGCCCAGAGCACGGATGTCAGGGCGCTCTCTCCAGCACCATCACATGATCACGAGAGGACAGTCGCCCCTAGGAGCGCTGGAGCAGGACAGCAGCCCGGGTCCCTGCCCACACCGTGGGGGTGGCCCCAGCTCTGGGCTTCCTTGCCCCCGGGCTTCTGCTTACATGAGAGAAGACAGTGAAGCTTCTAGGACTTGGGCTTCCCATTACGTACAGCCAAACTTAAACCTTAGTACTCAGCGATACTTCTAGATCAGATAAAGAATACCAAAGAGCAGGGGTGGGCAAGCTACAGCCTGCAGTGGCCATATCCAGCCATGATCATGCATTTATGTATTACTATTTTGTGTGACAACAGTGTGTGTGTGTATACGCTCGATCGCTCAGTTGTGTCTGACTCTGTGACCCCAGGGGACTGTAGCCTGCCAGGGTCCTCTGTCCATGGGATTTTCCAGGGAAAACTACTGAGGTGGGTTGACCACTTCCTTCTCCAGGGGATCTTGCCAAGCCAGAGATGGAACCCGAGTCTCTTGCATCTCCTGCACTGGAAGGTGGATTCTTTATCACTGTGCGCCCGGAAAGCTTTGTGACTGCAGTACACACAGAGCGGCCACCTGGCCTCTTACTGCTGACCCCCACCAGAGGGTCCGCCCCTAACTGCAGCACCACCAGGAGGTAAAGGCATTTCCTGAGGACTCCCACCGCCACTGCTCACCCCCAGCCCACAACAGCCATAATGTCACCCCTCACCAGCTGGGGCAGAGCGTCCCGGTACTTGCTATTCAGCTGGTTCACGAAGCATCGCGTGATCCAGTAACAGTCGACGCTATCTTCCACCATCTCTTCCATGGCCTTCGCGATGGCAAGAAACACTTCATCTTCTGGCTCCTGAAACATTAATAATAACTCTCAAGAAGGAGGCAGAAGAGAAAAACACAGGATTCTTTAATAAAAATGAAGCCTTACTCTCTAAATTCTGAAGGAGCCAAAATAAGTCAAAGTAGGATCAAAAGCACCCAGTCCATCACTAAAAAGACAACCGAGGGGAGACGAAGAGAGTAACCAGGGAATCTAAGGCAGTGTTGCTTCTGAACACTCAGGCTTCAGGCTGAACATTCACAGATTTCCCAGCTTCTAACATTAAACCCAAAGAGTCAACATAAACCTGAAGCAAAGGACCAACTCTCCACCCAAAAGTATTCTCAGTGCTGGAGAAGAATTCCTTTCAAACAGATGTGATAAAACAGCACAAATAATAATTAGAGACAATTATTATCAATATGGTAATTTGCAAAAATAACCCCAAAAGGACTAACAAGCATTTTCTTTGTTTCAAAGCATTCATACAGATCTTTAAATTTTTGTTCTATCTTTAAGCACTCATAAAGCTTAAACTGCCCCTAGAATCAGAATTTTAGGAATCAGAAGAATGGCATTTCTCAAACCCTGTGTCAACACTCAGAACGTGAAAGTAAACCTTCAAGTAAATTTCAAAAGAACTCTCATAAAAACTGGAATCCACTTGAAAAATCTGTTTTCAATCACTGCATCTTATACCAAAAGCTTTACGTTTTCATCTAGGATTTAAGAGCTAAAGGATTTTAACATTGAAAAAGTTTCTTTCTACTCCTCTAAGAAGTCCCAAGTTAAATCAAAATTCCTATTTTAATAGAAGAACTGCATTTTAGGCCTCCTTTCCACAACATGTCAAGAGCAGCAGCAAAGGCTCCTTTCGTGGGCTCCCGCCTCACCCTGGGCTCTGCACCGGGTGCTCCCGAATCCAGCAGCTCAATGCTGCTCCAGCTACTCTGAGATGCAGCTAAGAGGACCAGCGCCCTTCCGCTGAAGTCAGCTTCTACGTTCCCAGCCACCAGTATAGCATGGCTACACAGTCTTACTAAAAGGTAAGAAAAATACAGCTGACTGGGGCTTGGAGGCCAAGGAGACACGAGCCCAAAATGAACACTTGGGACAGCGTGTCTGCCCAAGGCCATGGTAGAGGTGTCTGGGCCTCATGGCTGGACAAACTGGAAACATTTAGACCTCAAGCTAATAGGTAATCTAACCTAACTTCATACATAGTTCAGGAACTTGTGTAGTACCATCAACGAACTGCATTTTGCCAATGAGAAATAAAATTTAAAGAAATTCAAGGGTTCCAACTATTTCCTGGGATGTTTATCTCTTGATAAACTTTATAAAAGTGAACAACCTAAGATCTGTCCATGGGACCCACAGCAACCTCAAAAAGTTAAAAGAAAAAGGGACTTCCCTGGTGGTCCAGTGGCTAAGACTCCTTGCTTCTGATGCAAGGGGCCCAGATTTGATCCTACATGCCACAACCAAGTCTCAGCAGAGCCAAATAAATAAAAATAAATGTTTTAAAAAGAGAGAAAGAACAAGTCAAAGCTTCACACTGCTGTTAGCAGGTTGCAATCTGCAACCACCACCAAAAAAATATAGAATAGCACAGTTTGCAGACAAATCTCTATTCAGAACAATTCACTCTATTTTAGCCAAGTTAAAATGCCTATGTGAACTGCAGCCAAAACCCAAGAGCTGTAGTCATCACTTTGCCTGCCCTCCTCCACTTCCCCCTTTTCTTCCCTTTATAAACAATAAGCAATCCTAGTAACTACAGCGAGCAGTCTGTCAAAGATCAAGCCTACAAAGGAGGCTGGAGCCTGTGGAGCTGAGGCCAAGAGGCCGTCAATGACCACAAGGTCTCTGGGGCCAAAGATGTGGCTGACTATTGTTAGTTAGAGACAGAGGAACAGCAAAGAAATAAATACAAGTAAGAGGTTTCCATTAGCTTCACTGTAACTGCCAAAGAAGGAAGCTGCAAGTATACAAAGGGCGAGAGCGAGAATGAACTTGTGATTCCTGGCAGGATTAGCATTAACTAGCATTAACTAGCGCTAGCGGTTTTTAATACAGTGATAAGCACATGTGAGCGTATCCTCCCCAGCGCTGCCTGCGGAGGGAGCCTGCCAGCAGTGATAAACCAAGGACAACAAGCACATCCAGCCCCCTGTTCTCGGCTTCTAACAACAGTTTTCAAAAATTAAAAAGATAAAAGGTTGATTCCAGGCTTGGGGTAAGAAAAGTACAAGATGAACCTGGAGTATCTTTTTGTTCCAGAAAGTAAGGAAGTGCTCAAAACGATGGGAACTAGTCCAGACGACACAAAAGTCAGCCTAAAGGGGCTCCCAGTAGCCAAATCTGGGACAACTTTAACATCAAAATAGTGGCAGTAATGACGTATAGGTCACTGAATCAAACAGACATCTATAAATTCATACTGATGAAAGAGAAGGGAAAATTATTCCTTATCAAAAAGCCATCTAATAAATGCAGAAGGAATGAAGGAGTCAGAAGGTCACCATTTGGCAATCAGCAGACTGAAAACTATTTAAGGATTGATATTTACACAGCCTCAAAGTACCTCCGCAACAAGTTACTAATTAATTACAAAGAGAAAAAAGCAACCATGCAGGAGAAGCCTGCCAGACATCACCGTAACCAAGTGATCAAAGCAGCAAAAGCAGTTAAGTATCACTACTTCTGTGGTTTTCCTTCCAAAAATTCCCAACTAGACTTCAATCATGAGGAAATAAGTGGGAAACCCAATTAAGAAACACAACTGGCCAGTACTCTTCAACAAAACTGTCAAGGTCATGAAAGACAGACAAAGGCCGAGGGATGCAGACTGAAGGCAGCTAAGAGTAAGTGTAGTGCAAGATCCCAGATTGGGTCTTGGACCAGAAAAAGGACACTGGTGTGACAGTCAGCAAAATTTCCGAAACAGCTGTAGACTAGTTCATGGCACTGTATGAATGCCAGCTTTCTGGTTTTGATAAATAACCAGAGTACAACTGAGACCTAACATTTGAGGATGCTAGGTGAAGGCAAATGGGAACACTACTCTTTATGTAAGTTTTCTCTACATCTAAAATGATTTTAAAATGAAGAGTTCAAACATAAAGGAAATTTCTTAAAAATCATCAACAAATGATAAAACTAATGGCTGAAAGTGTGTAAGTTCTGAACCAAAATTTTTATTGTTTATGATAAACAGCATCATTGGGACAACTGGTCAAGTGGAAATGAAGATCAGATGTTAGTACTGTACAGATGTCAACTTCTCGGTGTTGATGACAGAACCATGTTCACCAAGGAAAGCATTCTCATCTTTAGCAAGCATATACTGCAAGAATCTGAAATAATGGGATGCTACGTTTACATCTTATTCTCAAATACTTTGGGGGAAAAAACAGGTATATACATACAGGAAAAATGACAAAGCAAATTTGGTAAAATGTTAATGACTAGGGAACTGATAAAGGTTAAATGGGAATTCTTGGTGGTAATCTTGCAACTTTCCTGTAACTTTGAAATTACTTCTTCAAAATAAAATCTTAAAAAATTAGGGAGACTGGGTCAGATTGTACAGGGCTATGCTTTTATTCTACAAAAAAGACCACTGGAAGGTTCTAAGGCAAAACATGAAGCGATCAAAGGCTGGCCAACAGAGCAGTCGAGAGTTGAGCCAAGGGTCAAACAAAAGCACCACTGACCAGTGGAAACGAAGGACTTCGAGGCAACTTCCCAGACTCCAGCCGGTGCATGTAGAGATAGACTTCAATCTGAGGGGTGGCATCACTGATAAAGCGGATGACTTCCAAGGCGTGAAGGACATCAGAGTACTGCTCCTTGCGATACATCATCACCTGGGCATGGGACTCATGGTGTGGAGGCAAGATGCCTATAGAGACCCAGGATCGGGGAGGGGGAATAAAGATAGTAAAATACTGAGGCACCAATCTGAACCCCTCCTCTATGAAAGAATCCTGTGAGATGCTGCCTACCACCATTAGAGTAGAACTCACAAGTATTTAGTTACTATACACACTGCTTTAGAAATTTACTCTATAAATTTTAAGTATCAATACAATCAATATTTGGATGGCAACTCCATCACTGATATCAATGAGAAATGAAATGACATCATCAATTCAGTTCAGTCGCTCAGTTGAGTCCCACTCTATGTGACCCCATGGACTGCAGTATGCCAGGCTTCTCTGTCCATCACCAACTCCCAGAGCTTACTCAAACTCATGTCCATCAAGTTGGTGAGGCCATCCAACCATCTCATCCTCTGTCATCCCCTTCTCCTCCCGCCTTCAGTCTTTCCCAGCAACGGGGTCTGTTCCAGTCAGTTCTTTGCATCAGGTGGCCAAAGTACTGGAGTTTCAGCTTCAGCATCAGTCCTTCCAATGAATGTTCAGGACTGATTTCCTTTAGGATTGACTGGTTTGATCTCCTTGCAGTTCAAGGGACTCTCAAGAGTCTTCTCCAACACCACAGTTCAAAACCACCAGTTCTTCAGTGCTCAGCTTTCTTTATGGTCCAACTCTCACACCCATACATGACTACTGGAAAAACCACAGCTTTGATTACATGGACCTTTGTTGGCAAAGTAATGTCTCTGCTTTTCAATATGCTGTCTATGTTGGTCATAACTTTTCTTCCAAGGAGCAAGCTCTTTTAATTTAATGGCTGCAATTACCATCTGCAGTGATTTTGGAGCCCAAAAAAAATAAAGTCTCTCACTATTTTCATCGTTTCCCCATCTACTTGCCATGAAGTGATGGGACCAGATGCCATGATCTTACTTTTCTGAATGTTGAGCTTTAAGCCAACTTATTCACTCTCCTCTTTCACTTTCATCAAGAGACTCCTTAGTTCTTCTTCACTTTCTGCTGTAAGGGTGGTGTCGTCTGCATATCTGAGGTTATTGATATTTCTCCTGGCAATCTTGATTACAGCTTATGCTTCCTCCAGCCCAGTGTTTCTCATGATGTACTCTGCATATAAGTTAAATAAGCAGGGTGACAATATACAGCCTTGACATACTCCTTTCCCGATTTGGAACCAGCCTGTTGTTCCATGTCCAGTTCTAACTGTTGCTTCTTGATCTGCATACAGATTTCTCAGGAGGCAGGTAAGGTGGTCTAGTATTCCATTCTCTTAAAGAATTTTTCACAGTTTGTTGTGATCCACACAGTCAAAGGCTTTGGCATAGTCAATAAAGCAGAAGGAGATGTTTTTCTGGAACTCTCTTGCTTTTTCGATGATCCAGCAGATGGTGGCAATTTGATCTCTAGTTCCTCTGCCTTTTCTAAATCCAGCTTGAACATCTGGAAGTTCACGGTGCACGTATTGGTGAAGCCTGGCTTGGAGAATTTTGAGCATTACTTTGCTAGCATGTGAGATGAGAGCAACTGTGTGGTAACTTGAGCATTCTTTGGCATTGCCTTTCTTTGGGACTGGAATGAAAACTGACCTTTTCCAGTCCTATGGCCACTGCTGAGTTTTCCAAATTTGATGACATATTAAGTGCAGCACTTTCATAGCATCATCTTTTAGGATTTGAAATAGCTCAACTGGAATTCCCTCACCTCCATTAGCTTTGTTCGTAGTGATGCTTCCTAGGGCCCACTTGACTTCACATTCCAGGATGTCTGGCTCTAGGTGAGTGATCACACCATCATGGTAATCTGGGTCATGAAGATCTTTTTGGATAATTCTTCTGTGTATTCTTGCCACCTCTTCTTATATCTTATGCTTCTTTTAGGTTCATACCATTTCTGTCCTTTATTGTGCCCATCTTTGCATGAAACGACATCATAAAGCCTTTGAATATGCCACATAAATTCAAGATAAATCATTATTGTAACTAGTATGATTTAATTCAAGTTTACGGTTGTCATCCTGGGGCCAACCCTTAGCTCCTAGAAGCCTATCTCCAGTTTCTGTGCATGTCCGATAATAGTCCCCCCTCCACCCACGGTTCACATGTTGAAGCTCTAACCCAATGGGATCATATTTGGAGAAAGGGCCTTTAGGATATGGTTAAGGTTAAAGGGGGTCACAAGGTAAGGCCTTAATCCAATAGGGCTGCTACCCTTACAGGAAAATGAAGAACCAGGAATTAGCATGCTCTCTCAGAAAAGCAGAGACATTACATTGCCAACAAAGGTCCGTCCAGTCAAAGCTATGGTTTTTCCAGTAGTCATGTACAGATGTGAGAGTTTGACTATAAAGAAAGCTGAGCGGTGAAGAACTGATGCTTTTGAACTGTGGTGGTGTTGGAGAAGACTCTTGAGAGTCCCTTGGACTGCAAAGAGATCAAACCAGTCCATCTTAAAGGAAGTCAGTCCTGAATATTCATTGGAAGGACTGATGTTGAAGCTGAAGCTCCAATGCTTTGGTCACCTGATGCAAAGAGCTGACTCACTGGAAAAGAGCCTGATGCTGGCCAAGATTGAGGGCAGGAGAAGAAAGGGACGACAGAGGATGAGATGGTTGGATGGCATCACCAACTCAATGGAGATGAGTTTGAATAAACTCCGGGAGTTGGTGATGGCCAGGGAGGCCTGGCGTGCTGGGGTCCATGCGGTCACAAAAAGTCAGACACGGCTGAGCTACTGAACTGAAGTGAACCTAATAGAGCAAGCCAGGATAAAAGAGGTGATGAGCAGCCCGACAGGCCTTGGCACTCAGTTGCAAAGTATTACTGTCCATCTTACACAAATCCACAAGCATTACTGGTTAATAAGACACACTGTTTCCCAGTGGAAATAAACACTACAGGCACTACCACCTAAAAGGCACCCTTGGAAGGCATTTATTTCGCTGGACACTGGAAACACTAAGATTTAAAAAATGCTCTGGGGAAAACTGAGATCTTTTTTACAAATTCTCTGTATTTTAACTGCACACTGACCTATTAGAAATGTAAATGTACCAAGACTGCCAAGATACACACCAGAAAAGGCACTGTGCGGTGCCCTCTAGCATGGCAGGCATTCCCTCACTGCCTCATTTCATAATCAGTTTGGTTCTAAGGATTTTCCAAGTCCTGAAAATACGGTACACTGTGGAAAGAAAACCAGGTCTATAATCTAGCCTAACTTCAAAAGGCTTCTACAAACCTGAGCTCTGCCATTTACAGGCCACAAGGCCTCAGGAAAATTATTTAGCCTCAGTCTTTTCCCCCCACCGGTAAAATTGGGATATTGATACTTACCTCACAAGGGAATTCCAGGATTCTTTTTTTTTTTGAAGAAAGAAAAGGAGGGTGGTAATGGATGCATATTTTTGCTGTTAACAGGCTCAGTGATAACAGGAAAAAAAAGATCCTTGGCTCAGAAGGGATGCTGCCATTCACTTCAGGCACCTAATACACTTTTTCTCTCACAGAAACCCAGCAAGGTCCTTTTCCCTTCTCCCTCGGCCATCCTCACTGGAAGTTATTTATTTGTGCTTCAAAGAAGTAAACACTCTCAAAGCAGACACTTCCTTTTCTGACTCTGATAGCACTCATCAGGAAGTTATACCTCTGCAGCTGGAATCACAGAACAACAAATCAAGAGCTCAACCCCAGGAGTTAATTAACTCAGTATTCTCATTTACAGATGGAAAAAGAGAGAGAGAGGCCTAGTGGGGTCTTCAAGGTGACCCAGTTGGCAGTAAAGCTCAGACCAGTTCTCCTTTCTCCTGGCTCAATGCTCGTCCCATAACTTGTTTCAGGGAAATAAGTCTGCCTCAAGTCAACGTCTTTTCTAACACTCCTAAATCAGGTGTCCCCAACCTGCCGGCTGTGGACCCATGCCTCCCATCAGATCAGCGGTGGCATCCAATCAGAAATAAAGTGCACAATAAGAGTAATGTACTTGAATCATCCAGAAGTCAGCCTCCCTACCCCAGTCTGTGGAAAAAACTGTCACCCATGAAACCAGTCCCTGGCGCCAAAAAGGCTGGGAACTGCTGCCCTGACGCCCTCAAGAGTGACACTCGGGGCTCTGTGCTGAAGTCACCTTCTTCCAGGGTTTCCAAAGTGAGTGGGGATTCAGGCTCTGAGGTTAGTGTCCAGTAAACATCCTAAAAGAATCCTTTTTCTGACTGATAAGATAACAACGACCCATCAATTCAACATTTTTGAAGGTAAAAGGTCCCAACTCTTGGGAATCATACCAAGGAGCACCTTCCAGACCAACGCACGGTACATGGATGGGAGAGGGAACCTCTGACTGAAAGTACAAAGTTTCTCGATATCTGGAGAAAGAAAGAAAAAAATTAGGTGTTTTTCATGCTGATCACAATATGTAAAAACGCATTTTATCTTTTAAAACTGAAATTAGAGTAAGACATCTCTTCGGAGGAAGGTTGCTGCACAGTCAGCAAATCCAGAAAAGGCAACACTAGACTGATTTCCAGCCCAGGTGTTCCAACTAGCTATTCAAAAACAATCAGTGGTTTCACAGCGGAGGAGATGTATTTTGCATATTTATTACTACATTCACCATAACATCAGCAGTATTTACTATTTATAGACCTTATTTCATTTATTCACACCACAAGCTTGTTGGGTAATTATTTTTTTAAAGATGCAGAAACTAAAGCTCAGAGCAGATTAAGTGACTGGACTGAGTTAACATTGCTGGCAAGGAGCACGATCAGCCTGCAAACTCCCACATTCACCAATAAACCACATTTCAACCATCTTGGACCTCAATTCCCCTAATTGTCAAGTGAGAATTATAATACTTAAAAAGCACAGACTGATTAGTGAAGATCAAAGATCAGGTGGGAAATGTTTTTAAAACTTTAAAAGCACTCTATGCATTTAAACTACTATTTTTAACTATGGTTCAGTTTACCCTACTTTAATTAGACACATTAAAGACCTTACTATGATTGGCTTAGAAGAAATAAAATGTTAATCCATCATGCAGTCTCAGTATCTCAGAAAATTAAGACAAGAGTTGCTACAAATTTACCCAGAAACTACGATAACACTTCTAAAAATTAAGAAAATATCTGGATCTAGTAAGAGAAGAAATACTACTAACTTAAGAGACCTTTAAAAAAGGTCTGGCTCTGCCTCAGTGAAGTATAAACTTGAAAAATCCTTAGCTTCTCCCAAAATATATCATTCTGCTATCATTCTATCACTAAAATATATATACACACACACATATATATGTGTGTGTGTATATATATACAGCAGGTAATGTACCTTTGGAAATTTTTTTTGTAACTTTTTAAGTCTTTACTGGATTTGGTACAATATTACTTCTCCTTTTTTTTTTTAAACGTTTTGGTTTTTTGGCCACAAGGCACGTGGAATCCTAACCCCCGCAACCACGGATCAAACCCACACCCAGTGCATTGGAAGGCAAAGTCTTAAGCACTGGACTACCATGCAAGCCACCAGGGAAGCTGACAAAAGGCGAGGGACTTAAGTCCTTGGGAATCTTTTAAGTTAAAACTTCAGAATATCTGGGATGGCTGAGGACCAATAGGTTTAACTTATAAAACTCACCTAGACGGTCATCTTTTAGGAGAATTTCTAATGATTTCTTCTCTTCAACTCCACGAAACCCCACTTTTTCATAGTATACTGAACGAAAGTTTCTCTGGGAGTCCTCAGTCATGTTTCATTCTTGGAGAGGCAGAATAGGGAGTGAAAAAAAAGTGAGCCTAGAAACAAGAATTAAGAAAAATTAGGTGATTTTCTACAACTCTTCCATGAATCTGATACACATTGATAAATGGTCTGCCCTTGCATAGGACTCAATATTAAACCTTCCTGTTTACACAATCCTAATACTACCTCACCTATGCACCTTGGCCCAAAACCAAGATATAAAACAGAAGTCCCCTGAGCTGCTCAAATAGATGGCACAAGGTTCATGCCTTAGCATTCCTACATAATTTAGGAGAGAACCTAGCACAATGGTATATTCTGCAGCCATTAAACATGCTCAAAGAAAAAAGTGAAATAGGAAGACAGACAAAACATCAAAGTGTATTGCCAAATATACACGATTGTTTTTGTTTTAAAAATAGTACGTATTTTAAAAAATTAAACTATTCTGAAATGTTAAGTGGTTATCCTTAGGCAGCAGGATTCCGGATGATTTTAATTTTCTTTGGCTTAGCCGTGTTTTCTAACATGGGTGTTTTGTAAAACAAGAAACTAAGTTATGAAAAGAGTAAAAAAAAAAAAAAAAACCCGAAAAACCCAAGTTCCTCACTTATTTTTCCGTTAAACACAATTCTACCAAATGTAATGGTCAAAATTCAAAACCCACAAAAGATTAAGCATTAAATTATAAACCAGAAGAGGGGCAGAACGTAGCCTGGTTGACAAGCGATTCCACAGAGTTGCAGACAAAATAACTTAAAATCTGACATTAGAACTCAAGAAGTCCAGGGGTCTCCAGGTTCTTCCACAATAACCTTCAATAGATTGAAGTCATCAAGAAATGGTCAAATTAGGTTTATGTTTTAAGAACAGAGTGGATGTAACACAGTTTCCAAAACGTGTAGCACTGCACGACCCAAATGCTTAAAGCACTGGTGCAAAGAATATAACCCTAGGGTTTTAGAAATTTTGAGATGTGACCAGGGGAGCGTTGAATTGCTAGACAGCCAAGTTCTTCCTTATTGACAAGATAACCCACCGAGCACAGTAAAAAATAGAATTCGTTTAAAATTGGGCTTCCCATGAGGCGCTAGTGGTTATTAAAAAAAAAAAAAAAAACCCGCCTGCCAATGCTGATGTAAGAGATGCAGGTTCGATCCCTGGGTCGGGAAGCTCCCCTGCAGAAGGAAACAGCAACTCACTCCAGGGTTCTTGCCTGGAGAATCCCCTGGCGGGAGACAGGCCACAGGGTCGCACAAAATCGGACACGGCTGAAGCAACTTGACGTGCACGCAAACTGTGGAAGTCTACAGGGCTCTGAGCTTTTAAAACCAAATGAATGTTTTTTAAGAGCCGAATTCCAAAGCATTAAAACGCTACACGAGGTGGGATTTATTTGCAGCATCCCAACAGCTGCAAGGCGATCCGGTGCCTGTCGGTTTAAGGACCCCCATCCTCCGACTGCAATGCAACAGCGAACGCATCCTCCGGGGAGAAATAATTTTTAAGTTTCTTTCCCGCCCAGGAGCGCCCACCTGACAGGAGATGAAAGACACACACCCTAGGCCAAGACTGCGGGTCCCACTCTCCCTAACACGCTTCACCTCTAGGAGTAGAAAACCACACCCCGGTTGAGACTTAAGAGGTCCGGGGAGGCCGCAGAACCCAAGCCCCGCACGCTGACTGGCCAGCAGGTAAGCGGGCGACCTGAGGGGGCCAGCCCCGATCGGCCGGCGAAGGGAGACTGCAGGAACTCCCGCGTCCGGGAGACAAAACCGCCAGCCTGCGCCGTCGGGCGTCACTTCACGTCACTTCGACGTCAGGGGGCGGTGCGGAGAGCGCGCGTGCGCCGAGAGCGCCGCCACCGCTCCGGACGTGACGTCACATCGTCGTCAGGGGGCGGTGCCGAGAGCGCCACCTTCGCGACCCCCGCTGTTTGGGGCGGTAGATTGCACCCCGGACGGGGGAAAGAGCAGGTGCAAGTACGACTAGTGGGCTCAAGCCCCTCGCCCGCTACACAGTTCCCCGCCCCCGCACCCCCTGCTCTCCCGACTCATCTCTAGTCCGGAGAATCTCGCGTCTACCTTCCTCCCGCTGTGCCGGTCGGTGCGTGCCGGGAATGCTTCTTTCCAACCCTGCCCTGGAGGTGATCGCAGAGCCCCAGGATGTGCTTCTTAATCTGTCTGCAGCGGCAGTTGCAACCTGCCTTGTCGTCACCGCCTTCTTCCCTGTATGTGGAAATAAAATGACGCGCTAAATGAGACGTGCAAAGCAGCTTCCTGAGAATTTGCTGTACAAGAGAGTCGTCCCCACTGTCGCGTCTATTTTGGCAGAAACTCAAAAACAGGAGGGAAAAGGTTGATAGTGGGAAAAGGGGAAGGCTCCAGGTGTGCCCTCGTCGGAGGCTGTAGGCACGGGGGAGCTACAAGTGGATGAGAAGCCCAGCCTCCTGTGTGATCCCCGTCAATCATGTCTGGCTTTCCCTGGTTAGTCCTAAATTGAAAGCAAAGATAAAGATTAGGGAAGCTGTAAGTTATTAATCAAGCCCAGGTCAGTTGTTAACAGTAGTTAGTCTTAAGCTTCCTGGGTTGTAAGGAAAGCTATTAGTCAGGCTGACTTCCTAGGCTTGTAGATAAGGGGCTGGTTTTTTAGGCTTTTATATACGGTGGACCACGGTCTGTATATTCTGCCTCTCAGATAAAACACTGTAAAAGTGAATTATGTGAAAAATGAAGTTTAAAAATCAAGGTAAACAAACTCTAACATTTTAGACTCCGCAGACAAAATTACTCTTTAATATAGCTATTAAAGTTCATGAACACTTTCTCTGCTTACCTTGTCACAGGCCAGCACTGGTTTCCTGGACACCCCTCTGAGCAGACCCACTGAGTGGGTTTTTAAACCATTTGGGTTTGAGAGGAGTTGTCACTGAGCCAGGTTTGTTTTGCCCAATACACAGCAAGCCAAACACTGAGACACCTAGGTTTTCAGCAGGGAGAGGGAGCACCAGTCTCAAACTGCTTCCCTGAAGGCAAGAGGCTTGGGGTGCCTGCGGGCTAAAAGATAAAGAGGCAAGGTGGACTGAGGCGTGGGGAACGTAGGGAAAGGTGATTGGGAAAAGGTGTGGGATGGTCATTCTGACCAGGTGTAACTAACCTATAGGCCTTTGCACGTTCAAAAGATCACAGGGCAGACACTCACCCATGCCCGGTTGGAGGGTCGGTGGTCCCATCCAGTCTTAACCAGCTCAACTCGAAGTAGACACAGCTGACCCCAGGTTCCTGCAAAACAACTCAGGCAGACATCTTACTGTTACAAGTCAGTGTGCCCGACAATACACAGTGAGCCCAGACAACACAGAAATCTTAGTGTTTGAAGCAGAGAAAGGTTTATTGCAGGGCCATGCAGAGAGACAGGTGGCTCATACCTTAAAAAGCGCTTTTAGAGGGAAGGTGAGGGAGGGACGCGGCTCATTTTTGAAAACTTCTTGGTGTGGGATCCTTTGTCCCTGCAGTTGTCCATGTAGGTCAGGTCACGCTGTTGCTGTAAACCTCTAGCAGGTAGGTAACAAAAGTTATCCTGTCCTACAGCTTTTTATCTAAAGGTATAACACTTTTAAAGGTAACAAGACCCGTAAGCAGAGCAACATCATTACCCTGCATTTTACTTGTTCAAGGTCCCAAGGCTCCACTTTCGCCCTCTGAAGGCCAGGTCCTGGCTAAGAGGAGGAGGTCCCTGCATGGTTGTGTACCCTTCCTGAGAGCACTTGTCCAGCATCCAGTCTGGGTCCTCCTGCCAGTCCCCAAGCCTAGCTAAAGAGGCAGCTTTCAGCTGATGGCACCCCCATAACTAGGTCCCCAGGCCCTGCCCAGCTGTCATCCCTGAGGGAGCCAGATTCCCAGCACCCAGCCAGCCCTCAGACTCCTCAGGACCCCTAAAGAGGGGGCCTGGTCCCATGGACTGAGACTGAGGGTGACCGCTGCCTCGGGGACCATCACGGTGCTGCCATTTGGCAGAGCGGGACCTCTAACAGCCGCACACTGGCAGTCTTGCACATGGACTAAGGGCTGCCTGCCAGCCCAGCCCTGACAGGTCGTCATTTGGGCCATGCGATGCTCGGAAGATACACACGCCTTAAAACGACCTTGGTAAGTGAAGACAGGTGAAACAGATTTGACCCATGGTTTCAGTCCACCTAAAGAGGAGTTAGTTCCATTAAGGGAGCTGCTTCCGTAAGAGCCCAAATCTGTATAGAGCAGAGCAGACAGGGGCCAGGCTCTATAGGTGGTTTGGTCGCTAAGCCATGTCTGACTCTTTGCGACCCCATGGACTGTAGCCCGCCAGGCTCCCCTGTCCATGGGATTCTCTAGACAAGAATACTGCAGTGGGTTGCCATTCCCTTCTCCAGGGAATCTTTCTGACCCAGGAATCAAACCCAGATCTCCTGCATTGCAGGAAGCTTCTTCACTCACTGAGCTAGGAGGAAGATTAGATAAAAGATTAGATTAGAAGCTCTAGAGGGCATCTTAGAAATCAACAATGCAAAAGTCAGTCCAGTTATGGGGTCAGCCAGCTTGTCATGTGAGGGCTACACAGAACTTTAAAGAAGCGTGTGATGATTGAATGCAAACACTGATGCTCCACCCTCCATTACCATCTTTAGTTCTTCAGCTCTGGGGTCCTAAGCCTTGCTGGGGCAGTGCTTCTTCACATTAGCAAGTAGAAGGAGCTTTGCTCCTTCAAGTCTTAGCTTTCAAGAATTCCATGCACTTCATCTGAACCTTGGACCTGTCACTAACTTTTACAATCTTCTTTTTCTTACCTTTAAAATAGAGCCGACAGTGGTGATGACATCACAGAGGTATTGGAAGGATGAAATGAGAAGGTGTGTAAGATGCTTGGCAGGGTGCCTGGGAGTCATCTGCTATTAACTAAATGGTGACAGAACCTGGTAGCCTTGAACAGTCATTCACTGTGCTATTTGCTGATAAGTGGAATATATGGGTT